GAGAGAGAGAGAGAGAGAGAGAGAGAGAGAGAGATCTTTCTCAAATGGGAAGGGGATCAAGACAAGGAAGTACGGGAAGGGAGGGAAGGAAGAGGGGATGAAAGAGGAGTGACAACGTGTTATGTATATGCACCAACACCACACAAGGAATGTGAATACTGTGTATTACAAACACATACCTAAGGAAAGAAACCCAAAGCAATCTGGAGAGAGATAACGAGGAAAGGAGAGAGAAAAAGAAAGCAGAAAGGCAGGATGCAGAGGCCTCTGCAAAGGGCTGTGGGCGAGAAGTGGCTGCTTGCTTGAGGTCGCAGTTCGAGGACAGCCAAAAAGAGATGGTCACTCACAGAACCAGAGCCCTTCAGCACTGGGAAGGCCCTCAGAGGTCTTTGGGAGATTAACTGGGAGGATGCCCTGAGAAGAAGGACCATCACAATTAACTTTCAATTTCTCAGGGCAGAGGGACAGCTTGATTAGTGGCCTCCTCCCACTTCCTGCCCCTGCTCTCTCCCACAGCTTCCTACCGGCCACCATCCTTAGCACCTCCACCAGAAGTGTGCTGGGAGGACCGAGATGAACCAAAACACTGATTGGGGACAAGTTGAAAAATTAGTCTTTAGGATGAGGAATTTTAATTATTAATTACATTCACAGATGTCATTTGCACTTGCTAGTTCTGAGCTCCACCACCAGGGATCATTTCCTTTACTGGAGTACAGGGCCTTGACCTGGTCACCGGGCAGCCTGTGGTGTCTGAGAATCATGATAACACATGGTGACCGCGCATGGGTTCTGGCTGGGTCTGGGCTCTCTGCAGCCTTGGTAGATGTAACGGTCATCTAGTCCCCATTATTTACTAAGCAAGTGCTATGGGCCAAGCCCTGTCCTGGGAGTTGGGGACATAGCATTGAGCAGGTGGCAAACATCCTTACTCTTGTCCAGTTTATAGTTGCAAACTGGACAGATGTAGTTTTAAAGGACTAGTATATAACATTTATTTTTATTTATTTTTATTTTTTTGGCGGAACCGTGGAGTGAACTCAGATCCTTGCGTTTGCCAGTCAAGCGCTTATCCTACTGAGCCATCTCCCCGGCCCCTAGTATATAATGTTTAGGAGGACTTCAGGAGAGATAGGAAACCAGCACAGAGTACGGGACCTGGGGTGTGTTGGAGTGCTGGCTGCAGTGTTCTCCTGGGAAAGGTGGTGTAGGAAGGAAAGCAGCAGAAGCCAAGGGGGACCTGCCCTGCCCCTTGTGTCTGAGGGATGTGAAGGTGGTTGATGTGATTAAGGTGGGGGGAAAAGAGCAAAAATAATAAAAGGTGATGTTAGAAAAGTAAGTGAGTCACAGTAGACTTTAACTTGGAACATTCTAGAGCTTACTAGGATGATGAAAATGTTCTGCAGCTGAGCTAGTCTAGTAGCTCCTGGCCATGGGTGGCTATCTGAGCATTTGAAATGTTGCTAAGGTGATTGAAGAGCTGCACTTTTCATCTCATTTAACTTTTTTTTTTTTTTTTTTTGGTACTAGGAATCAGACTCAGGGCCTTGCTCTTGCCCACCAGGCACTGTGCCGCTGAGCTAACCCCTGGCACCTCATCTAACTTTAATGAATTCATATCTGAATAGGCCCATGTGGTTCATGGCTCCTGTATTCCGCAGTGCACTTCTGTGCAGGAAGGAGGTTGGCCTGGTTTGAATCGTGTTTCTGCAGTGCTGCTCTGGTGACCCTCCTAGAACGCGGAGAGGCAGGGACAGGAACAAGGACATCTGGTGACCATGGCAGGCCGTGGGTCTGCTTGTGCACAGAGTCCTGTACACTGTCTCTCCCATGTCACACCCAGCATGAGGACAGACAGAAACTCTCATTGAACTAGGAAGCTAAATTTTCCTTAAGACACTACTGAAATAAGCCTCTGTCTTCCAGGATGTGTCACTCTGAAAGCGAGAAGTGAGGCGGGGGGTACTCAAGCATGGACCCCCTACTCTTGGCCAGAGCTTCTGCTAATTTTAACAAAAACTTCCCCAGCAAGCTTGGCTTATTTTATGCTTTTCACAGTCAGTTCAAGTCACCAAAGCTCAGAGCAACGGAATCCTGTGGCCCGGAGTCATAGGCAGGGGCAAGAGCTGACTGTGTCTTCCTTGCTCAAACCCATGTCCTTCTTACCTCAGCATCACAGGTGACAAGACTCTTCCAAAACAACCCCAAATCTTTGGTCTGACAAAGGCATAGTTGAAGACGAGCCTAGCTCTGCTAGCAAGGAAGCTAAGGTTTTTCTCATTGTTTGAAGACAAAGCAAATTCTCAGAAATAAGAGGGTCCCTTTGCCACAGATTTTGAAATGAATCCCACTCTCTCCACCCAGCCAGAACAATTTTCTTTCACTTCATTGAGAAATCTGGGAGATTGCTTCTAGGAGCTGGGTACCTAGGATTTGATGTACCCATCTTGCACTACAGGACACTAAAATCAGTAGCCGCTGTGTGCAGATGGCACGGTACTTCCAACATAGCTGTTGTCAAGTAGTTTGACTGGGGTGGAAAGAAGAAAGTTCCTGGAACTGGTGTGCAGGGGCTCCACCTCATCAGCTCTGGATACCAACAGTAGGTGAATGTGAGACCCAAGCCCCAAACAGGTGCCCTGTTGGATGGACACTGTCAGCAAGCTCCCCAGCCTGTGGTGGTCCTGGGTGCCCAAGCATGGGGTGGCCCAATGGATAGGCTCCACCTCAGTGCTTGGGACACAGCAGCTACAGTCCTCCCTGAAACACACCATGGGGGCCCAAGCCTGCCCCAAGAGGTCACATTTACATTTCCCAAGGAAAGCTCCCTCTCTAGAAGAAAAGCTCCTTGCGCCTCCCTTTCTAATCTGAAACCTATTATTTAGAATCAAAAAGAGTGCACACAAATTAGGACCTTCAGGCCTCAGAATGAAAAAGCAAATAGAATTCATACTCGGTTGCTAAAAATTTCCTTTGTTCGTTGTCCAGAAGTCTTTTTCCTGGGAGTCCATGTGTTGAAATCAGGGTGAGATTATTAAATTTCAGGTGAGAGCTAAAGAGAAAGACAAAAGGAAAAAGAACAAAGAGAGGTTAAGCTCAATTCAGTGAAAGTTCATTATAATTCAAATTAACTTTATGTGTCATCTAACTGTTGGATCTTTCTTTGAAGCTAGCAACTCTTTTCACACAAACCTTCAAATCGAATTGTTTAAGTGAAAAAAAAAAAAAAGATGGCGCTAGAGACACTAATTGTAGAAAATTCCAAAGGCTACACATAGTATAATGGCAAACATAGTTTAGTTTTTTTTTTTTTTTTTTAAATGCTTCTCAAAGTAGAACTCACAAATTGGGAGGAGAAAAGTCAATTCAGTATAAATTAATAGAAATTTTGAAGTCAAAATAGCTCTAAGAAATGGAGCTATGACCATCACAGCTGTCCCTCGGCCAGCCAGCTGTCACTTTCCTACTTAGTCCCCACCCCGTGGCACGAGGTCAGCAGTATGACTGGCCACAGCTCACAAAATGTGAGTGAATGTTTAAATTTTCAAAAGTTTATTACAGTAAGAGTTGCACCGCCACGAATCTCCTTAGAATCCTGCAGAAGCTCTGGAGTTCTGAAAGTCCTCTTTGCTGAGTGTTTTTTTTTTTTTTTTTTCACACAGTAGAGCTTTATTTATAAATTAGTGCACATAAATCTCTCTCTTTCTGTGTGTGTGTGCATGTGCGTATGTGTGTGCTTGTGTGTGTGTAAGACAGATGCAAAGAAGAGTATTTCCTATTTGGTAGGACTATTGCCACAGGATGAATTATTAGTTTATCAATGATTTTCCAGGATTTAAAGGATCATCCTGGCACCTTTACAATATCAAGGGAGCCACAAGAGCATAATTATGGTAATATTTCTGATTATCTGCATAACCGATCATGTGGCGATCATTTGACTGACTGTGTTCCGATGTAATTTGGTTGTTAGGGCCGCTGAAACAGACTACTGGCATTTGACTGTTTTAGCTTAACAGACGCAGGCTATATTTATGTTGAGTAGAGAAATAATTTTTTCCCATTAAAATGATTTACAGAAACTGTCATCCTGTACTCCTGCAGGTTCATTTTATTTTATTTATTTTATTTATTTTTTTTCAAAGTTTTATTGATAAACAGATAGCAATGAGACAGTTTCAAATCAAATCGGAAGTACAGTTTCAACAAATAATACACTGCATATATTCTTCTTAGTGGTTAATTGCTGTACAAGATGCGGACTTGTGATCCTATTTACAAACACCATTAGAACAAATCATTCTATTCATTAAGAGAATGCAACTATATATCTATCCTAACCACTTTGAATACACAGATACATAATGGACATTCATCAGTATACCCCATTTATATATTCTAAGTTCCGTTATTGAATATTATAGGTGTGTAAACTCAGTAAAATATTCTAAAAGAGTCCAGTAGCCCATAATAGCATTGGGTCTTCTGTTTAACTGGCAATGTCAAATTATTGACCTGAGTCCCCCACAGCTCAACATAACAGCATGGCTTTATTTCCTATATTTCGTCTTCATACTTTTCTACTGGAAGGTTAAGACCAAGGTAAAGCAGGACCTATGCAACAAGAGTTGTAGCTTTTTGGTCTGAGAAGGTCAGTGAAATGCCCTCAGGATTTATCCTGAGATCCTGTACCTCAGATTGTAGAACCTTCGTCAGTGCAGCCATGTGGATGAGTCACGGCCATTGCTTGGCCAATGTGCTCTCTGTGAAAGCCTGAGAGAGTGTCTTCTCCCCACGTGACTCTCCTTAGGCACACTCTATGTCATCGATCACTTTTCTCTTTGGCCCCATAATCTTCTTGATCAGAAAATTTGGGACACTACCGAGGTACATGACATTACAGTACAAGTTCTCATATGTCCTGAGTCTTAATTGACCTTAGAAGGCTAGGGCCAAAATGTTGGCTTTCCTTGTAGCCCTCCTTTTTCTCTAATTTTGGTCTGCAAACTTATGTTGTTAACCATCCAGAAGACAAGCTTATTGTTATTATCAAACGATTTAGGCTATCAAGCTTAACCTCACTATCTCACTGCATTTCATGCTGAGTGGTTTTGATTGCATTGCCACAGTTTCCCCGTGTCCTGAATCCATTCAACACTTGTCCCTTTCCTGGTCATTCTGACTTTGGGAAGGAGCCAGAAGTCACCCAATGCCAGATTCAGCGACTAAGGTGGGTGAGGACACAGTGTCACGTTTTAGGAGCCTGCCTCTCCACTGATGGCAGCTGCATTCACTGAACTTTTGATCATGCTCATCAACAAGGACTCCCAGAGCTGCTCCAGAAAGTGGCAAGAGTGACAGGATGAATGTATTGGGGAGTGAGTATTTTGAGGGGGTAACCAATGGTAATCTGACTGCTATGGTAAGACATTTTTTTAAAAATGTAAACATTTTAAAAAATGTAATTTTTGGTCACCTGTTATAGTAGGCAAAAGTGAGGCAAAACGAACTGCCAATGCCAGGCAGCTCAACAGTCTAGGTTGCCTGGCTCTCATCTAACCGTTGCCTATTCAGTGGTTATTCAAAATCTGAAGGGCCTGAGTTCCAGAGCTCCCTGTGAATTCCAAAACCTAAGGGTGCTAAAGCCCCAAATACAGTGGTGCATTGTGTGTTGCCCTTGAACACCCTCCTTCCCTTCCTAAAGCATCTCTACATTACCTCTACTACCAAGTGCAAAGTAAAGGCTGTCTCAGTAGCTACCTGTGTTGTTTAGGGAATAACCCAGAAAAACATCTGCACATGCTCAGTACCAATATAATCCTCCCTCCAAAGAATTACTGTCAGGGCTGGGGAGATAGCTCACCGGCATAAGCATCTGCCTGGCCAGCACAAGGTCCTGAGTTCAAAGTACCACAAGAACGAAAAACAAACCAAAGGATTCCTGTCTGAGGTTGGTTGAATCTATGCTTTGAAAGCCAGCCCTCTGAACACAAATGACCACAGAGATCCTGAGACCACTACCACCCCCAGGTCAGCCTCAGTGCTGGTCACCATCAGATACATGGATATCCCCAGCATCAAAGCATCTTCAGAGGAAGTTTTTGAGGACATCTCTTAAGAGCAAAACCTGTTTTGCACTGGCATCAGGCTCTCCAGAGCCCAATGTACATGTATAACCATTAATCTTCAAGACAAATTACCTGTCTTTCCTGTGTAAGAAAGTCAATGCTGGAAATGGTAAGGCGTGTGTGTGTGTGTGTGTGTGTGTGTGTGTGTGTGTGTTGGGGAGGGGAATTGGCACTATGGAGACTAGATCAAATCCAGGGCCTTTGCCCTGAACTCTATCCCCAGTCCTTTGAAAAAATTATTTTACTTTGAGAGAAGGGTTCACAAAATTTCTCAGATCCTCAGGCTGGATACAACTTGTAATCCTCCTGCCTCAGCCTCTTAAGAGTACTGGGATTACAGACCAAAGCCACTACACTGGCTAGAAATGATAATTTGTTCAAGGTCACGAAGCTCATACACAGCAGGGCCAGAAATAAAATTCACGTTTTCCAAGTCAGTCCAAGCAGCACCCTCGCTGCACACCCAGCCTCTCTACAGGGAGTCCTTTGCCTAGCACACTAATTGCAGGCTTCCGAGGACTCACTCACATCTGCCCCTCGGGGTTTAAAATACTTCTGCTTAGAGTCAGCAACATTTTATGGGTGAGAGGATGTTTTCAGGGGATCCTGGTTGGTGAGAAAGGTTTCTTTTCTAAAAATTGTTCCTTAGTTCACACATCCCCTTTCAATCAACCAAATGCCAGGGAAGGAGCCTCCCCGAGCCAGAGGAGAACACCTGCCTCCTCTCCCCGGAGGAGCTGGAAGCTTTCCAACTGTGGAAATGCTATCAATTTACTGACAATCTGTTAAGTAGCACTAAAAACAGGCGACTTTCGGTGATGGCTCGGGTGGGCAGTGCAATAAACCCAACTGCACATGACCTTTAAAAATAGCTAAATATTATGAGAGGTTTTGCTCTAAAAGTCTCTCAGGATGGGTGTCATTTAAGAATGAATATTCTTATTGGATACAAACAAACCAAGCACATCTTATCTGCTAATAAGAATAGAAATTCTAGATATCTTCAAATAGCAGAAAGGTCACAATTAACCCCGGCTATGTGTGACTCCAGCCCCAAATGCTCAACAGTGACAGGCTCTGGATTTATCACCGTTTAATGGGGAGCACAAATAATAAAATGTGTTTATCTGCGGGGGCATTAAAACTTCTGGTTTGGGGCCCCACATGACCAAACTGTGGTTTACGTTGCACTAACAGGGGCTCCACACTGGTTCTTTTTACATCTCCATGTGAATAGAAGTCTTAATGACCCTGCAGCTATACCTCTCACTACAAATTGCTTTTTACTACAAAAAGCAATTCCTTGGGTATGGGATAATTTGAATTATCTAACGACATGGATCAAATGACTCATAAATTGCTAAATTACCACACTGAATTTTCCTGAATTATGCTGTTGTACAATTAGAAAATTTCCCTAAAGACAGAATACGATTGGAAAAAAAAAAAAAAGCTGTTCTGTAACAATATGGTACAGATGATCTTTTTCCTTTTATAGGAGGGAGGCATTTGCTGAAGTTTTATGTATGAGAGAAGCGGCTTCCGAGTACTTCCTCCAGCCTCAGTCAGAGCCTGCTGTGTGCCCGGTCTTGCCTCTGCCTGAGTTCTGGCTTCCTACCTCAGCCTTCCTTGTCCTCCTGCTCTGGTCCCCACTCCTCAATGAGTCAGAAGTGGAGCACAGACCAGCCTCCCTGTGCCTTCTCTTTCCCCTTCTGCTTCCAAGTCCCCTTCCCCAATATATTACCTCCTTTGCCCTGGTCCCCAGCCCTGAACCAGCCACTTCCTCCCAGGATGTCACATAATAAACTAGCCCAGTGCTGACTCGGTGGGCTGGAGGGAGGTCCCCGCAGGCCCACGGGAGCCTCGCCCATCACACCCACATTCTGGGCAGAAGGAAGGAGGACTCGGGAGGGCCCAAGGGAGC